ATGCTCTGGCAGAGTCTTTAACACTGTTGGCACGTGCCACTGCTGTCAGGCTGTTTGCATCACCATGAGACAGATCTGGGTGTCTCTCCTTTAGACAAAAACTATCAGTGCAGTGTCAGCACAGTGAGATCACCTCGTTGGATACTGTAAAATCCACGTGTCAGGGTTTTTTTGTGCAATAAGTGGAAGTTTGGGCAATCACTGGAAAACAAAATTCACCTGCTGCATTTGTGGCAGTGGTAGAAGTGTGCTGATAAACACTGGCCAGTGTAAATACCCACGTTCAGGGCTCAGCCTGCTCACTGCTGTGGTCTAAAACTGGAGAGGGTGCCTGAGGATGCTGCTCAGACAGTCTTGCTGTTTGTGCAAAACTCTATAAATGCGTTTTGTTCTGTGTTTTTTTGCTGAAAAAGAGTTTTGAGAAGCTTGAAATTTGGTTTCCTTGCCTTCCAGTGCCGCCCTTATCCGTTTGGCAGGCACAGTCCACAGCTGCTCATTTGGGACGTGGTGAGAAAAGCTTACAATTCCCATTAGTAGGGGAATAAGCAGTAGCATGTTTGAAAACACAGATCCTGCTTGTCAGGCAAATGTCTTTTGAGAGCACCTCCCATCCCACCTCTCCATTCCCCAAAGGATAAGAAAAAAAAAAAAGTGTCTCTTCTGATGTTATTTTTAGAACCTGTGCTGTATGTTGTGTGATTGTGAGAAAACGAAACAGTAAGGAAATGAGGGAGTCCAGGGTGGCACTTCAGAAACAGAATTGTTGAACTTGGTGATATTCCAGAGTCTTGTGGCACTGGGGGCTCTTTTTGTCTAAAACCATCCCTAGCCCATCCAATGCAAACGAGAGGTCATGATCACCGTGGCTGTAGGGGTTATCAGATGGGTTTGTTATCAACAAGGAAGTAATTTTTTAAAAAAATGAGTGTTGTTAATATAAAATCCATAGCTTAAGAGGTTCCTCCAGCTGCTTGAAGATTACATTTTCTATACTGTCTTTTTTTATGAGTTATTTCGCAGGAGGCAGTGGCAAGGATTTTTCTCTAGTTTTTCAGTCTTCCCAGTTGCATCTTAAGGATTCATGAACCCATTTTTCTTCCATCATCTGAAAATTGCTTAGAAAGTCAAATAAAGAATATTCCAGTGGTAGAGTAGAAACACTCAGGAACTGTCACCCAAGAGTAAAGTACGTGTGTTTTCCACAACAGTTGGAAAGCAGAGTGTTCCTGGGACCAGGCCTTTCAGAGTTCAGGAAGTGTCTGGATGATGCTCTTAGTCATGGAGAATCATGGGATGGTTTGGGTTGGAAGGGACATTAAAGCTCAGGGACCCTTTCCTCTATCCCAGGTTGCTCCAAGCCCTGTCCAACCTGGCCTTGGACACTTCCAGGGATGGGGCAGCCACAGCCTCTCTGGGCAACCTGTGCCAGGGCCTGCCCACCCTCACAGGGAACAATTCCTTCCCAATATCCCATCTAACCCTGCCCTCTGGCAGTTTAAAGTCATCACCCCTTGTCCTGAATGATGGAGTTCTAGCTGGTTCTGTGAGGAGCAGGGAGTTGGGTTGGATGATCCTTGTGGGTTCCTTCCAGCTCGAGATACTCTGTGATTCCGTGTGGCCTGGTTTGTGCCTCCTGTTAGTTTTGTTTCCTCACACTCTGCATTACTAAAATTCACGTCATTTTACAGCTCTAACACTGTTCAGCCTTCTGAGCTGAATATTCTGAGTATTTCCTTTTCTAGTGGGAGGAGAAATGCCCATCCCAGACTCCCTTTGTGTCTGCACAACTGGACCTGCTTTGCACAGTCAATAACCCCCTTTTTTTTGAACCTGTACTACTTTTGTTTCCTTAAAGGAGAGCTCCCATAGTTTTTCCTGTGTCCTTCCCAAGCCTGGCATTTGGGGTGGATATTCCAGCTGCAGAATTCCAGTTCCAGATGTGTTTGTTCCTGGGGAACCAGTGGCTTCCTCCCCCCTGTCTGGAGGGGATGGGGCAATGACTGAAAAGGAGCAACTGGCAGGACAAAACCTGTAATATAAAATAGTGTTGGGATGAAATGGGGCTTAAAATACCATTGTCCACAATTACACATGTAAAAGGCCAATCTGTCACCATGTTTATTTAATCAAGGTCCCATAGAGATTTTAATTAAAATAGTGAGCTCATAACGTCAGGCTGGTCGTCTGTGACTGACAAGTGGGGTTTGGAACAGAGGGCAAAAAAAAAAAAAATGGGCCTTTTTTTTCTGTGCCAGCTTTGCTAAATAATGGATGACTTGTTTAGATCACTTGTAGTCATTTGGCACAGTGATATTAAGAAAAAAGCTGCTTCTCCAGTTGGTGCCAGTAGGAAAGAATCCATTGTTTTCGGTGAGGTGGGATTGAGCCTTGAATAACTGTTGTAATGGCTGCTTGTCTTAGTTTCTTAAATTCAGAAAATAGGAGCAACAGTTTAAATTCCTTTTTATTATAATATTTTGCAGCACCTGTTTTTCAAATGGTACAGAAAGGGGAAAATTAATGGGGGGGGGAGGGGGAAGGGGAGAAACCCGCCATGAAAATTCTTTTTGGTGAGGAAGGTTTGGATTTGGACTAAAACAGAGAAGATGGTAATGCTGGGTGACATCTTAATTTAAATCAGTTTGGCAATTGTAGTTTCTAAACTTGTTAGATGAGATTTTCATGTCTGTTCAGCAGGATAAACTGCTCTATTAATTAAGCTCAGTCCCATAAATCTCTTCTAACTTGCCATCAAATCCCAAAGAAACCTGGATCACGTTGCTATTGAAATCTGCAGCCCAGGAGAATGGAGTTTAATATTTCATTTGTCTTGTGATGTGACTTGTAAGATGTCATTTTTGCACTGGGAATAAAAATCACCAAGTCTGTCTTTTAATTGTCTTGCACCAAGAAACAAGTAATAAGCTGCTTGTGATTTATAATAATTTGATTTTTAATGAAAATGTATCTGCATGCGTTTCTTGAAAACAGTTTTCTTGGAGAAATAACCTTAGTAAGTCAAAACATAATCAGCCTGGCATTTTATAGCAGAAAGAGATTCTGGCAGGAGTTAGGGGAAAAGGACAGAATAAAAACAAAAATAAACATTCTACAGAAACCATAGCTGGTGTCATTGGTTTTGTTAATGTTGGATACCTGCTGCAATTGCAATTCAGATTGCTTTTGTTTTTTGCAGAGGTACAATGTACAACTCCTGCAGTCAATCCCTCTCAGGTAGCAGGGCTCCTTGTAATTAGTGTTAGCCGGAGGAAATGAAATTAAGTAACATTGCAGTTAATCTTTTTGAATAATAAAGGTTTCTGTGCATTTGTTTCTCTTCACTGAGCAGTGTTAACCTGCAAGAATCTTCTTCCTATCATGGGGTGCTCAAACTTTTTCCTTCCACGTTTTTGTGGGTCCTGCATTGTTTCAGTTTTCTGGGTTCTTTGAGGGATCACCTTTAAAAGAGGAATTTAGAGTAACTCTCATGGAACTTTAAATTATTGGTGTATTGTTACATTTATAGGTTTCTTTTTTTTGAGGCAGGGATCACAGGTTGGGTTGGGTTGGGAGGGACCTCCAAGACCATCTCATTCCACCCCCTGCCATGGGCAGGGACACCTTCCACCAGCCCAGGTTGCTCCAAGCCCCGTCCAACCTGGCCTTGGACACTCCCAGGGATGGGGCAGCCACAGCTTCTCTGGGCAACCTGTGCCAGTGTTTCAACACCCTCAGGATAAAAACCTTCTTTTTTGTCACCTTATCTTCATAGGAGAAGAGAGTTTGTGTCCTCTGGGCTGAGGGCAAACCACATCAGAGTGGGACAGAGGGAAGACTCGATGAGATCCAGGAAATTGCTCATAATCCTGCCCAGTTCAGCTCAGGTTTTCCAAACCACGAAGCTGTTTGCTATTCATGTGGTTTCCAGTATGCAAGTTTTATTTATACACTGACAGAGAGGGGAAAAGGAATAATAAAAATCAGGCAGGCAGCCAGAGCTCTGTAGATTGTTGTTTTTTTTCGTAGCTCCCATCAAAGGGAGCTGCTGAGATGTCTTTTATCAGCTTGCTTTGCTTTTTCTCGCAGAGGTGACGCTCAGCAGCTGAGTTCTGCCTCCTCATGCTGCTTCTCAGACATCCAGACACTCTTCAAGTCTCATGCAGACTTTCTTGAGTACCTTTACCCGTGAAGTTAAGCAAACTTTGCAATCAAACATGACAGGAGGTTTTGATTCACTGTTACCTTTGAGTTTTATTTAGTTCTTAGTTTTTCCGGAGCCCCAGTTTAAGCCAGTTCTGGCAGCTACTGGTGTCACTGGTCCTGGGAAGATCCCTGGTGTTTAAATTTGCTAGGATTGCCTCAGACACACAGCCAGTGCTTTGCTTAGAAATTACATCCCATCTTTAACCTGTATTTTACTTGCTAAAATCAGAAAATGAGCAAGTGATTTGAGTTTTCCACTGGCTGTTAATGGTGCCATGTTAAACATGAGGATTTGGCTGAACCAGAGGTCAGTGATTGGGACACTCTGCTGTGTTAGGTCACAGGGCAGAGAAAGGGCTGTACTGGAGCCTTTTTATTCATGGAATATGTTAAATGCACTCGTTTGCCTTAATTTAAGACTTCCTTCTCCCCCCCTCACCCTCCAATATTATATTGAGTGCTATTGCTCAGATGCTTAAAAGAGGGAGAAAGTATGAACCTTGTGATCTTTTAGAAGTGACTTTTGTGTTTTATTCTAAACTGAGGTTGCTTTGTGGTTACTGCAGGTGTTTCTGAATTGGTAATACTTACTCCCCCAGTAAAAGGGGCTGAACTTTTAGCACCAAAAAAGCACAGTTCTTTTCAGGAACAGATTAAATTCTTATAAAAGATTTGGTAAATGGCAGGAGAAATTGTGCGTGTGTTAGAGTATATTTTGGGGACAGCCTTGCTACAGAGATACATAGCGGAAATTTGATCTTTCTGACAGAATTCCTTGATTTCTTTTTTGTCTCCAGAGCCCCCCACCCCCATCGCCCCTCCGGAGCTGCTGGCCGTGGGAGCCACGTACCTGTGGATCAAACCCAACGCCAACTCCATCATCGGGGACGGGCCCATCATCCTCAAGGAGGTGGAGTATCGCACAACCACGGGGAACTGGGCAGAGACCCACATCGTGGACTCCCCCAATTACAAGCTGTGGCACTTGGACCCTGACGTGGAGTACGAGATCCGAGTGCTGCTCACGCGCCCCGGGGAAGGAGGGACGGGCCCCCCAGGGCCACCCCTGACCACCAGGACCAAGTGTGCAGGTAGGATTTGTGCTGCCCTGGGACACAGCACTCTGGTTTGTTGTGGGTGTGCCATCTGAACTGATGTTATGAATTCAGGCACGTCCTGGGATATTCCATGTTTTGTTCCCTAGGCAGGTGTTGGTTTTATGTGTGTGGTGTATTTGACAAACTTTTGCCTCGGCGTGTGGCTGCTTTTTGTTGAAGTGGGCAGAGACGAGAGTTTTCTGACCAAAATTGTTCTTAAGGCTAGTCTGTGATTTAATATTCACCTCTAAGTGCATACCAGAATTTTGCATAACAAGTTCTTGGGTAATGAATCATCAATGTTTATTAGCACCTTGACAGTGGTACCAGTTTGAGGGCAGTGTGGTGAAACAGGAAGCATTTAGTTTTTAAAATTAATTTTTGTGTTCCATTTGATGGGGATGATTCCTCTCCTCACTTCTGACAAAGAAACCTGTTCAAACACTGTGCACCATCCTCCTTTTCTCTTTCATATTGGAGTGGATCAGTTTTGATCCAGGCACAGAAGGAGTCTATCTTCTCTCTAAGCCTTCCCAGGAAAACCTAAAGGATCATGTTCCTCATGTTTCAGATATATTGGCTGTGCATTCTGTTGTCATACATTAATCATCAGCCATTAGGGGAAATCAAACTCTGCTGGGCAAGGGGACAAGCAAAGCACTTTTCTGCCTCCCAGTTTTTTTCCAGCACTCAACTGTCTTCTCAAGGTTTGCATTTTTCTAGGTTTTTGCAAGGTCCTTACTGTGCAGGGGACAAAGGACAAAGACTAAAAGGTTGCTCTCCTTTTTCTATAACCTCTTTTCCCTCCCCACAAATTAATGGTTTACAGCAAGTGGATTTGAGCAGTGGAAATCTTAACACAAAACCATCTTGGTTCCAGTTACTTTTTCTGACAAAATATCAAGACTGAAGTGTGAGGAAGGCATCCAGAGCAGCCAAATGCCATTCTGGGATGGGATTAAGCAGGGAAATGGTAGTGTTCCTCACCCACTGTCCACAGCAGGAGCACCCCCTTCCTCTGCCAAAGGAGGAAGCCTGGCAGGTGATTGTGTTGTTGGGTGTGTATGGGGCACATCCTTTATTACACAGGTTATAAATCAGTGAATATTTAGTGTCTGTTTCAGGAGATTTGGTTCAAAATAAAGAAATCTGAGCATGAGGCCCTGGCACAGAGGTGTTTGCCCTGTCCAAGGGTAGAGGACAGATGTTTAGAGGCTTTGTGCTGCAGCTTTGTGGAAAGTGTGAGGTGACATGGAAGATGGCCTGGCCTGTTTAGGAAAGTTGGCACATGCTCTGCTGCTCATCTTCTGGCTTTCTTCTCCTGCACGAGTGTGGTCAAATTCTCCAACCACCATCAGGAATAACTGCAGGCTGGGCTGGGACTGTGCATTTGCAAATGGAAATGTGACGTGCTGAGATTTGCTCTGTAGCTCGTTGTGTTGTCCCTGTGCAGGCACGCTCTCTGCAGCAGCCAAACTTCTCTGCATCACCTGTAGAAGGATGCAGGCTTTGGTTTAATTCAGGGGTTAAAGTAGCAGGGTGTTGACTCTGTGCTTAATGATGCCTAGTCCTGGGTCCCGAAGTGCTGAGTTTCCTTGCTCAGCTCAGGTATCGACCGACATCGAGAGGGATGACGTAGGTAATTTGTTCAAATTGGCTGAGCCACTTTCTGTTTTCCATCCTATTTTACTAATGAAAATCTAACTGGAGAAGGTCATTCTGTTAATGTTAGCTGTCATGCAGAGCTCGTTGAGATTGATGGTGATGGCATTTATGTTTTGTTTAGGGCACTGGGGGGGGGGGAGAAATCATAATGATCTTGATCTAAGCGTGGATTTGGAGGGAGAGACTTAATAGCTAAAGATGTACAACTTGCACCAAATGCCAACTGAAATGATAGACAAGAAAATGCAACTCATTATTCCAATTTCCCTCTGTCGTGGAACTCCTTCAAAATACCCCATTTTTGAGGATAATTACACAAAACTTTCATGGTAGAGATTTGAAAAAAGATGTGCTGAACTGAGAAAACAGCTCTGCTGCCTTGATTTTCCTGGGAGTACCTAATGAATGACATCAGGGAAAATTGAGGGGTTTTTAAATAGTTGAGGGATGAGTGAGGCTGCTTTTTTCAAGTGAATTTTTTTGGCTCTTTTGTTTGTCATTACCTTGCCTCAGCAAGAGAGGGAAGTACCAAACTCCTCCACATTTGTATGCAATCAGGAGAGCACTGGAACAGCCCTGTTTTACTGCGCTGTTTAGTGTTGTGCTGTGTTTATTAAGCCCACAAATAAAGATAACAAAATTGACTGCAGAAGTAATAGTAGAGAATATCACCTGTACTGGGGAAGTATTTACTTATTTAAATTGCAAGAAATCAGTGTAACAATAAACAGAACATGTCTGCAACGTTCCAAAATTGAGAAGTCAATGTCCCTTGTACTAAATACTCTTTTCACATAGAGTATTTGTGTTCTAGGAAGGCTGAGTAAGTGCTGGCATAGCCTTTCAATTTAGGCACATGTTGCAGTGAGATTCTTATTTAGATATGAAAATAAAAATTAGAAGAGGATTGGAAAGGACCATGTTTTTCTTCCACTTCAAATGGAGCAGCAGGAGCTCATTTACAAAGTTCATTTGTTTTCTGACTGTCAACCTTGAATCAGAGCAAAAGCATGGGCAGGATGGCTCAGGAAGAGCTTAAGGTCATTACACCACGATGCAACTCTTACCAAAATCATCCATGAGTTTCAGATTTTTGACCAGACTAAATGGAAGTTGTTTACATGGGCTTGAAAACAATTTTCATTAGATAAAACCCCTGAAAACTAATTATGAAAGGTCCTCTTCTAAATGTGCACAAAGAAGTTTTATTAAACTGGATGATATCTTATCCAAATTTCTATAAGCAGTACGTGCCCAGGCATCTGTTACCCACTGGTGATGCTTTTGGTTTTCCCTGGGACAGCATTACAAGAGTTGATTAATATTTGATCTCTAGAAATGATACTGGAAATTAAGTCCCAGCTTGCCTTCTTCCAGGAAAAGCCAAGTGCCAGAAAATATGGCAAAGCCTGCATGAATGATTTTTTATTATTTAATTGGTTTTTTGCTTGTTTGGGGTTTGAGGTTGTTTGGTTATTTTTCCTAGACTGTGATAGGTCATGACTTAGGAAAAGATTAAATGACCTTGGGGAACAAACCAGTGAACTGTCGGTCAGAGGGAAGAGCTGCTCAGCAGGGAATGGGGAAAAGAGAGAGAATGCTTAAGGTTAAGACCAGACACAGAGCTGAAGGTTGGCTAAAGGGAAGACAGGTATAAACCATTAGTTTTTACCCCCAGAATAATAGGTTGAGGAGATAACAGGATTAGAATGGTGTGTTTGAATACGGTTCCCAATAGTGCCTGTATTCAGCACTGGAGTGTGGGGGTTTTTTTAGCCCTCTGTAGATAAACAGAGCTCTTTAAAATCCTTGTTTCGTGGGCTTTGTTCGCCAGAGTGTGCTTTGGGAAGCTTGAGACTTATTTCCTTCTCTGTGCTTATTGACTATTCCCCTGGTTTTTTTTTTTTTTTATCTTTAGTTTTCCACAGAAAAGCAGAATAATGGAAAAGACCTTTTTAGCTCTGGTGGATGGGAAAAAAGGGCAGAGCTTGCAATTGAGGTCATCATCTTGTGGGGGGCCATCATCTGAAAAGTGTTCAAAAGGTGTGTGGATGTGGCCCTTGGGGACACGGTTCAGTGGTGGACATGGTGGTGCTGGCTTAAGGGTTGGACTCGATGATCTTAGAGGGCTTTTCCTCAAGATTCTGTAATTCTCTGCCTTTCTGGATGGTGGCAACAGGTGACTTGTGAAATGAGGAAGGTTTTGTGACCTTGTGGTTTGGAAGCAGGAAACTCCCCAGTCTGATGGCAAAACTGTTGGGTAAGGAATGGGAAGGGAGGAAAACTCCTGAGAAACCCCATAATCTGCCCCCCAGAAATGTGTGGCAATGATTCTTCCCAGAACACGACTTATGATAAGGGAAGGTTTGTCCTCATATGAGAAAATTCCAATGTCTCTTGTGCAGCCTATCCCTTAAAATAAGCTGCTGGAGCCTGGGTTAATCAGCAGAGGATGAGATTTAGCTCCTGGAAAAAGGAGCAGTTGTCAAGATCAATACTCAATTTTTGGTGTTGGCCTAGGGAAATAAAAGTTAGTCTTGAATTATGGAGCTGGATTCAATACTGCTTTTAAAAATAGTCCAGATAAAGTAGCTGATACAAATGCAAATAATCAGAGCATTCAGAGTGTGATATGGTGTAACAAAGTAGTTGGAAACCCTTTTCTTCTGGCTGGTATTGACAGGCACTTTGTTGCCGTGAAGTCTTGGGAAGTTTAGCAGTAGCAAGCAGCTTTTGCCACTTTTTTTGTCATTTTAAGACTATATTTTCAAGTTTATGGAAGTATTTTTGTCTTTTCCTCTGTTAGAAATGTTAGAAAAAGGGAGTATTTTTGTACTGTTAGGAAATGCATGAACTGAACAGCCACAAGTATGTGCACTGAGTTAGTGTGAGCTCAGAAATAATTCCTTCTGGTTTAATTTTAAGGTGATATCTCCCATTAAATAGGAAATGCTCACATCTTAATGGTGAAAACCAGCTGCCTTCATTTTCTTTTTCAAGCTTATAGTAAAAAAAGAAAATCATTAAAAATCAGATCTATGAGTCAAGGCACTGAACAAATGGCACATCAAGTGATTCGAAGGAGTGTTCTGTACAACCAGTGTGTTGGTATTATTGAAATCACTGATTCACAGACTAATTTAACTTGGAGCTACTCCAAGCCTTGTGCTCCAAGACACGTTCATTTCCCTATTAATATTAAATTTGAACTCTTAGCTCCAGTCTCCTGTAACTTTGAATGGAGACAGTGGGGAAAACAGATGCTTTTTTAGCAAGTGAAGGAAAACCTTGTCACAGAGTCATAGGATTCTACAGGACCCTGAGTTAGA